GCTATCAAAAGAACTTTAAAAGGCAATCTCGTACTGGCGAGGTACTGTCTTCAGGGGAAGCATCGATAGAACCTATCCAGAAAAAGGGTTCTCATCCAGGCCGCCTGGTGTACAACCAAACACTGGAAGCCAGTTTTAACTTTTCCCTTCAAGGCTCAGGGGTGAGCAGCTTTATAGAGAAGGCAGTCCTGATCATAAACGCTATTGCATTTGCACAAAGCAGGAGAGTTAGCTTATCCCTTCCTTTCTTAAATCCTGGTGTTTGTTTTTCTTCCCTACTAATAAATGTCTTTTTTGGCATCCCCTCGGCCCATCCCCCCTAGAATAGGACACCTTTGTCTGCATTAAAAACTTGTGACGTAGACACCCTTTCTCTTCATTGATTTTCTTTTTTGTTCTTCTCAATAACTTAATGGCATCTGGGAACTGGCCTGCTGCTTCTTGGTTAGCTGAAGCTCCTGTTATCTTGACATTTTAAAAATCAAACCTCTTTCTAAAATTATCAAACCATCCTTTCCTGCCATTAAATTCTCCAGCTTTAGATCCTTCACCTTCCTTTTGCTTTAAGTTGTCATATAATGACTGTGCTTTTTCTCGAATGGAGTCTATAGGTATGTTTTTCTAGTAGCTATCTTGCCCCAACATAAAAGCTACATTTTCAATCCAAGATCAAAAGGTATTTCACAAAGAGTGCAAGGTTTTTGTGCCTGCTGGTGTAACTGCAGCAGTGGGTTCACAAATTTCATTCCCTACCCCCCCCCCCTTTTTTTACAAGAGTCCTTATACTGGATTCATTTATCTTGAAATGGTGAGCAACTTCAGCAATTCAGCTTTTTCTTGTAATATGACTTTACTTCTTGGGAATACTTCTAGAATCACTAGTGGCACTTTGTTTGGGTCTTATGATGATAGTCAAGGTTTATGGTATTATACTGACCATGATGAAAAATATATGAGATCCTTGAGAGATCACTTTTAATGGCAGTATGCAATTTATTGGAGAGTCGAACTGCTTACATGGCGATGATTACTATCGTGGTATTTTAAGCAGATTCTCACAACACAAGCTCATCACTTATAGAGGTAGGAGGTAACTACAAAATTATTATAGTAGTACAGTATGTACTACAGATAATTTTATGCAGTTATGATTTAATATATATTTACATTTGTTTTTATTTCTCTCAACTGAATGGTGTGTATAGTCTGGTTTGTGTGCTTAAATTTTGATAAATCTTAACTGTGTAATAGATTTGTATATATTTTGTGGTAGTAAATTACAAAATAAATTAGTTTCTACATATATTTTTTACATTCATGACATACCAAACTTTTTTTTCAATATTTCAAGGCACCACAATTTGTGAGTTTTTCAAATTGTCACAAATCTTCCTGCATATAAGTGAACCTGCACAGTTCAAACCTGTGTTATTCAGGGGTTAGCTGTAACGTAAAACTTTTTTACTTTGGATTAGGCAAAGCTTTTAAAATATGACACCCAAAGCACAAACAGCAAAAGAAAAATAGCCAAATTGGACTTTATAAAAATTAAAAATTTTTATTTAACCATCAAGATAGTTAAAAGACAACCCTTAAAATTTAAGAGACTTCTATTTAGAGAACAAAAAATCCTTACAACTCAATAACAAAAAGACAACCCAGTTAAAAATGGACAAAGGATCTGAATAGACTTTCTTTTTCTTTTTTAAAATATATTTTATTGATTTTTTACAGAGAGGAAGGGAGAGAGATAGTTAGAACCATCGATGAGAGAGAAACATCGATCAGCTGCCTCCTGCACATCTCCCACTGGGGATGTGCCCGCAACCCAGGTACATGCCCTTGACCAGAATCGAACCCGGGACCCTTCAGTCCGCAGGCCGACGCTCTATCCACTGAGCCAAACCGGTTTTGGCTGAATAGACTTTCTTAATAGACATTTCTATGAAGAAGATATACAAATGACCAATAAGCACATAAAATGATGCTTAACATCATTAGTTATTAAAAAAGGGCAAGTCATAACCACAATGAGATACTACTTCATAACAACTAGTATGGCTTTAGTAAAATATACAATAAAAGTATTGGCAAGGGTGTGGGGAAATCGGCATCCTCATTCATTGTAGGTGGGAATGTAAAATGGTTCAAAACTTGAAAATTTTTTAAAGCAGTTTGATAGTTCCACAAATTACTAAATGTGGAGTTATCACATAACCCAGTAATCCCACTCTTAGATATATCTATGGAAGAAAAAGGAAAATATCTCCACACAAAAACTTGTAATTGAATGTTCTCATAGCATTATTCATAAGAACCAAAAATTAGACACAATCCAAAATGCCCATTTACTGATGATTAGGTAAACAATATTTATTCATTAATTTAAAAAAAGAATGAAGTACTGATACATCCTAAAACATGGATGAACTTTGAAAACATTATGGTAAGTGTACGAAACCAGTCACAAAAGGTTACATATGTAATTTTCTACTTATGTGAGTGTCCGGAATAGGCAAAATAGGGACAGAAAGTAGATTAGTGCTTGCCTAGGGCTGAGAGGGAAAGGAGAATTTGGTAGTGATGTCTAAAGAGTTCCTTTCCTAGGTGATGAAAATGTTCTAACAAGGATTGTGCTGATGGCTGTACAGTTCTGTGAACATACTATAAACCAGTAAGTTTTAGACTTTAAATAGGTGAATCCTATGGGATGTAAATTATATATAGAGAAAGCTTTTATAGGATCTACCTACCTTTCCAGGAAGATGTATATAATCTGTTCTATCGTTTAAGTTCAAGGCCCCCTTCCTTTACAAAGTTTTTGCTGATTAATAGCAATTTATTTGATTATTCCTATTATTCTAATTATACACTGGTCATTTATCTTACTACTACTGTTGGTTATGTTTGCCTCTCGTATTTATTAGTCATTTTATGTTTGTGTGTAGAGATTATGTTTAATGTCCATTACCAATATTAAGTATCTCAATGCTATACTGATAGATAACCTGTAAATCCAAATCCTCATTGATTATTTAGTGATTCTTATTTTTAAGGAAACTATTAAGATGATTGCTATCCTTTTATTTAGTGTGACTCAAATGTAAAGTGGTTATGAAGTTATGCTTTGTATGGGTTAGAAAACATGATTTACATATTTTAGAAAAGGATATGCATAAATTTTTGAAAGTCCTGCAAATGTATACCTATTAATAAGAAAATATTTGTAAGCAACCGTGCTGAGCTCTAGTAAGACACAGAAAATTATTGCAAATATACAGTTTAAAAATGATCTTTTAGTCTAATGGAGTGGAGGAGTGATTTCAGAGGCAAATGTGAGAAGTTTAGGATTAGACAAATTAAGCACTTAAAATGAATTCTGGGGCGTGGGAGACTGGGTCATAGTTGTTCAGAAAATGTTTATGGAGGAATGAGATTTTCAGATAGGCTTCTTAAAAAATTCTTGTTTTTTAGGTACTAAAGTCAAAACATGAACAATGACATATATTACCAATGTTCAAAGCTGATTTGGCTAGAACTGGAATATAGTTGCCTACTACATATTCCAAAGGATTTAACAAAGTCAAAGTAATGGATAACAAAAAAGATCCTCCATTCTTCAATGAAGATAATGTGGGACCACTTTACTACAAACTTCTTTTTTATACCATGGAGCTCTTCATTGAAACATTGACTGGGACATGTTTTGAACTGAGAGTTTCACCATTGGAAGCTGTTATTTCTGTGAAAGCAAAAATTCAAAGATTGGAAGGTACTCATCTTTCTTTTTTCCTTTTTTTAATTTTTAGGATATGAGGACTATATTTGTTCATCAAGAGTGTATAAATAACTTTAACTTTTCTTCCAGAGAAAATGCCAAACATACATGGATTTAGAAAATACAAGATAATGAACCCCCATATATAGCCCTTACTCAGCTTCAACAGTTATCAACTCATGAGCTATCTCATTATCATTTCTGCATTCCTCTACCTCAGTTCCCTTCTACCCAGAGTTTTTTTTAAAGCAAATCCATGGTATCATGTTAGTGGTGTGAAATAATATTTTAAAAATGGTTTTTCAACAGGTTATGATGACATGCAAATTCTTCTATAACTACCATACAGCTACTTTTTTCATTTCTTTTTTTTATTGTTTAAAGTATTATATATGTCTCCTTTTTCCCCCCATCGACCCCGCCCTGGCCACTCCCACCTGCCAGGACAAGCCTCCACTGCCCCAGTGTCCAGATCCATTGGTTATGCTAATATGCATGCATACAAGTCCTTCGGTTGATCTCTTACCCCTTTCTCAATTCCCTCCCCTGCCTTCCCTCTGAGGTTTGACAGTCCATTTGGTGTTTCGTTTCTTTTTTTTAAAAAAAATATATTTTATTGGTT